CCCCCCTCTCTCTGTTACACACACACTCATCAGTTAATTGCGTTAGTCATTCCATTAATGGCGGACTGATTGTTTTATTGTGTTGGCTCGTCAAAGAGGCCTGGACGCCCCAGTGGCTGCTGAAGCGTCTGCATTGATAAGCCTTTGTGTGTATGTTTGTGTGTGTGTGGCTGGTGACAGGGGGTGTGTATTGCTGTGATAGTGTGTACAGGGTGGGTGTGTGGGCACAGTATGTATTTGGCTGCTCAGTGTCACCTTGTGGACCTGTGTGTGTGTGTGTGTATTACTGATGCAGTGGACATCAATCTTTTTACGCACATTGTGCCTTCCTTTTGAGGACAAAATCCAAGTCCCCGTAACATAATAACCCCATTTTAGGGTGAGGACGTGGTTTAAGGTTCGCGTACAGCTAGGTTTAGGTTAGGGTTATGGTTTGGCTCGATCTCCAGGAAATAACTGTAAGTCAATGTTATGTCGTCTATAATCAGGCTAAAATCAGGACTGTGTGTGTGTGCTGAGAGAGACACTGTGTGTGTCAGAGCTTGTGTTTTGGGGAATAGGTCATCTAGCACTAACATGAAGACTGATGTGTGTGTAGCACAGTGATGGCTGTAGTATCATACAGAGCAGTGAGGGTAGTAGCAGCCAGTGCAGCCATATCGATATGGAGCTCTGGGTTATTATGCAGGTCTGTGGTGGGCGGGAGGTAATTAACAGGGATTAGGATTGTCGGAGGCCTCATGTGACCCCAGTGAACACCGCTAACCTGCTGGGATTAGCACGCAGCGTTCATTAGTGGAGGTGCAGACTCCCTGACATCTACAGTCATTGACGCTGCATATAATTAACTAGTTAAACTCCATCAGATGCATTTACATATATGTACATTAACACCAAATGATCAATAATAAATATGTGTTAATGATAACATGGACAACATTGTATAATGTAGCCAGTAGGGCTGGCACGTTAATAAACGAAACACGACGGCCATGTCCACACTACTCCGCTTCCATTTGAAAACGCATGTTTTGCTACGTTTACACTGAGCGTCCACACTACGCCGGAGTTTTCGAGCAACGAAAACGAAGGAGTTTGAAAACGCTCCCGAGGACGGATACGTTTGAAAACTCCGGGGTTGCCTCTTCGTGTGGACGGTCGGCAATGCACAAGTTCGGAAACGATGACGCCCACACGAAGATGCAACCCCGGAGTTCACCACACGGCATTTCAGCATCGTTTTCAAGATGATCTCCGTCCAGACTGAAACGCCTGAAAACAAATATCACGTGACTATTCACGTACACTGGGCATGCGGGTGGGTGCCGGTGTAAACAGGAAGTAGATTTTGTCCATCACCCTCCCTAAAGCCGTTAACTTCCGTGACTTCAGACGGCCGCTCCGTAGGGCTGATAACACCACTGGTCACGCCGCTCGCTAATCACTCCATTAACAGCTGCTTCCTCCGTAATAATGCAGACTTTAACTGAACAGCTGCTAGTAAAGTCTACAAGGTCAGCTACACCTGTAATCAGTTGTCCATGTTAAATTAACCTGGTAGTCTATCGGTAATCAAGGCTGTTTATGATTTTCCGGGATAGGGATGTGACGAATCAGGGAAGGACACGTAGTGACTGCTAAGAACCAATCAAGTAGCGAACGTGGGCGTCTACGTCATCGTTTCTAATCTTATGCGTTTACGAGCGTCCACACGAATATGCAACCCAGGAGATTTCAAACTCCTCCATTTTCGGTGCTTGAAAACTCAGGCGTAGTGTGGACGCTCAGTGTTAACGTAGCAAAACATGCGTTTTCAAGTAGAAACGTAGTCGTGTGGACATGGCCTCAGAGTCGACAGCCATGCTAGAGGCTCAGCATGCTAACATGCCAACAATGTTCACGGTCTTAGTTAAATACAAAGTGCAGTTGAGGATGATACAGAAACTAAATGATGTAGAATTGACATAGTTACTTTCACATGTGGTGTCTATACCGACTCACTGAGGGACACCATGTGACGGGTGACTTCACATTTGTTTTTGTGGTATATTTTCAGTTGGCTTAGAGACTCATTTTACAGAGACAGCAGACAGCCTCACCCTCATCCATGATGGTCCTGTCTATGGGGTTGAATCCGAAATCTCAGATGGTTTTGTTTCATGATTATCTGTTCAGCATTGCTCAATAATTTCCTCCGTTGGCATAAGCAAACAGCTGCCCAGTTATCAATAGATCACAGAGCAAGCACTATAGATCAGAGTGACATTTTTACAAACGCTTCAGAAATGCACTTCAACTTGTGAAATAGAAATGTTTATCTTTAATCAGGAGGTCAGCTTCTCCTCCAGCAGTGGGTTTTAGTGTGAAGCCGGTCCATGTGCTCCTAGTGCACCTCAGAGGACTCATTTCGACACATTTGGATATTGAGGTTGGCATCAACCTACAACAACAAGTGACCTGGATAAGATGCAACAGGTCATGAAAGGAATATGATAAGCCTTAATATCTGACAAACTAATGCTCATGTTGGGCTTGTTTATAAGTTCATATCTGTGTTGGCTCACTGAGGTCAAATCCTTGCTCCGTTTCACAATGAGGGTCAATTGAGCTGGTCGGGCTGATAAGAGCACCATGTGGTGAAGATTGGCCAATGGTGCAGAGGCAGACTGGACATTGATGGAGTGCGGAGATAAGGAGGGTCAGAGGCCCCATGGGACAGGAGATAGCACACTGGCAGGTCAGACTGTCTCAGGAGTCATGTTTGGGTTGGCGCTTGACCTGGAACTGAAACCTGACACTGACCCCAACAACTCAGAGATGTTCTCTTTAATTTGGTGTATTCTAACAAAGAAGTGAGACAAGGTTGTCTTCTACATATTTGTGAAATCGAGCTCCACCCAAAACCTGAGTCATTCGATTAAAAATTCAGCCCAACCTGACCCAAGCACAGCAGGTCAGGTCAGCTCCTGTTGCGTCTGGCATCAGTGTCACGCTCTCATGTGCAGCGGGGCAAGAGATTGAACAAGTAGGGCTGCTTACAGTGTCACAGTGACTGGTAAACAAAGTGTGACAGCACCTGTTCGACAATGTGCTGCTATTGCAGACCCTAACTGGAGCACAGGCAGTCATTTAGTCTTGACTTGGTTGGATCAGTGTTGATCCTCATAAAACAGATACTATCAGGTCAACTAGTTCCGTAAAAGGTGATCCCTGTTTGACCAGTGGGTAATTCATTATATTGTGCAGAGTGCCATTTCAACTTTGAGCTGTGAGTTAAGGGAACACACCACTTCCTGTGTGAGTTCACCACAACAGCCAGACAATGTTTTCAACCGCTATTTGGCTTTAAGGACTGGTGTTATTGAATTAATGTCTACCCCTCGCTGTCCCTCCTCCCTTCCACCACCCCCCACCACCACCACGTCCTCCTCCTCCGCCCCTCCACCGGCTGTGGGAAAGCCATTTTATCAGCGTCTGTCCGTTGTTCTCTGGTGGGGATAGATACAGAGAAGATAGATGAGTGTTTTGACATGGAGAGTGTTAGACAAACACTCTTATCAGGCCCGCCACTTTAGACCGACCCCCCGAAACAGTCGCCTGAACCGTGGGTGAGATGAGAGGGGGGGGCAGATTTTGAATGCGTTTTGATCAGAGGGAGGGAGGTCGACGGTCATAAGGAGAAAGCCTCACACGGCGACACTCACTGCTGTTGCTCAATGTTCATTTATCCTCAGATGTGCAGGAAGTTGTCTCAACTACAGACCGGCGCTCCCGCTGCACTCAGAGCTGTCTTCAGTCTGTAACACAGATGGATCGGCCCTCCATGCCTCCCAGCCAACGGGCTCTATCTGGGCTGCGGCAGGCTCAGACCACAGCCGTCACTGCCATCCTTCTGCACTTATCAATTTGAGGAAGTACACAAGAAGTTTCCCCTGTTTGAACCAGGCCAGGACAGAAAGTGCTCAGCTTGTGTCAGAAACTCCCCCTGCTGTCGAGCCGTTGACAGTTTCGGCTGTATGCTCTGAACTGCTGCAAGGGTTCAGGGCGAGTTCAAGCCACATGCTGCTTCTGCTGTTGTGGCTTTTCTTCCTCTTGAGCCCGTCGTGTGGTCTCTGCTAAATGTCATGTTTTAACCAGCCGGGGGTTTGAAGGCCGAGAGGTTCGATTTCTACCCATATGTAGTATTTTATAATCTTATAATCTTATAATAACTCTGTTGCCCTATTGATGCCATAAGCATTTCCAAAATGGCAAAACATTAAAACTCTTCCTAAAAGCTATACTAGTAAGCTTTTATTGGTAAAAGTAAGTAAAGTTCTGACTGTTTATGAAATATAAATAAAGGATTATGTGAATGCTTAAACATGTTGGTATAAGGATTCTTTGAAAGGGTCTCCTCGTGATCTCTGTCCATGAGGGCACTAACGATACCAGTAGTTTAAGGATGAGCTCAACATCACAACATGTTTGTATGTTTGGCTTATTTCAGCTTCACTGATGTTAACCGCTCCTCTCTTCTCTGCTTCCTCTAGATGATCTGGAGTTCAGTGAAGAGGGCGCGGACCGCAGGGTGGTAGCTGGCCGGGACCTCCATCCAGACACAACTTGGGGCCCCTACCCAGGAATCCTCCAATCAGAGGGCAGCACAGAGGATCAGGAGACAGAGGTAAGAGCTGTGATGGTTACTGAGAGGGAGGAATTACTGTTCATAGATTCTTATATTACAGACGAGCTCCTGAATTAACATGATACACATCATTCTAAAGCAACACCTGTGTGTGATCAAAAAAAACATTGTCAAATAAAAAGAGTTTGAATTATGATCTTAAATTCTCAGTAATTTTTTACTTTTTTCCAATGAAAGTAATTCAAAGTAATGAGGCTACAAGTCATTGTTGAACTTCTGAATTTGAGATGTTTTTCTGATTTTGGTGCCAGTCAGACATGAAATCCACAAGAAGAATACAAATATCCTAAAGTCATTGATATGATCCTGCATTATGAATCCAGTACGTGTTGAGTTGACATTAATACAAGCTTGAAGTTCAGTGCAGAAGTCTCATTATTAACAGTTGATACAATACATTAGAATAATGTTAAACAATGTAATAATTGATTAGACAATAAATTGGTCAGAATTGTGACACTTTAATATTCGCCGAAGTCATTTATAACATATAAACAATGAGCCTTCTCAACTAGTCGAGTTTCAGAAAATGAATCAACAACAATATTGTCATTTATTAAGCAAAATGTCAAACCTCTGATTCCAGCTGAAGTGTGATGAATTTCTGCTTTTAAATCATTGTAATGTAACATCTGTTGACCAGAGAGGGAAGCCTTGGCTCCTGGGAGGTTATTGGTATTTCCACATTTGTCTTAGATTTGATAGAGTAAACTAAATGTGATTGACCAAAAATAGTTGTCAAATGACATATCATTCTAATAATGAACATGTTTCTTTAGCCTTATTTTTGACTCTTCTATATTGTTATAGAATGAATACTAAATATATGAGTATTTGATAGTGAAAATATGTGAAACTTGTTTCTTATTATTTATTACATGCAGCCCTAAAGTAAGACACCAATGCATGCTTTAAATAATGTATCTATTAATACACATCTGGCATATATTGTAAATGTTGTTGAACTGCATCAGCTGAAGAGAGACCTCCAGCTAGCGTAAGTCAAATGGACAGGTCAGGGGTCAGGGGTCAAGAGAGACAATGAATAAACACCTTATCACCTATGTGTGTGATAGTAGATGAAAATGAACAGCTGTGTGTGTGCCTGTGTGTGTTTGTCTGTGTTGGTTGGGAACAGTGTGTGGGACCGGATGGAGCCCTATCAGAGACTGGGTTTGTGCATCATGTGCAAGTCCATCTAATCATATGATACTGATGCTGGGAGAGGCTTCCTGGCATGGAGCACAGATTCGGACAAACACACGCACACACGCGCGCACACACACACACACACACACACACACACACACACACATGCAGGGACATTCATGCCCATCATGATCGCTTCCTATTTGTTATTGATCTGCCGTGCTATAACTCGCTTGCTTGTTGCATCTCCAGTTGTTTTCAGTTTTTTGGCTCCAAATGTCAAATGTTGGTCCAGCTCATCCCAGTTTAACTCCACTTCAGGGTTTGAACCAGATGGAGTTTATAACACACACCTACCCCATCAGACTCCTCTCCTCTCCTCCTCCACCCCGTCCTCTCTTCTCCTCCTCACTCCCGTCCTCTCCTCTCTCTTCTCTCCTCCCGTCCTCTCCTCTCTCTTCTCTCCTCCCATCCTCTCCTCTCCCCTCTTGTCCTCTCTTCTCCTCCTCCACCCCGTCCTCTCTTCTCCTCCTCACTCCCTTCCTCTCCTCTCTCCTCTCTTCTCCCGTCCTCTCTCTTCTCTCCCCCCGTCCTCTCATCTCCCCTCTTGTCCTCTCCTCTCCTCCCCCCCGTCCTCTCTTCTCCTCCCAGACGTCCGCCTGTCTTTTATCTCCACATGGCGCCATCCTCCTGGACAACAAACCCCAGTGATTGATTCCTGCTTGATAGGCTCTCATTTCTAAGATTTCGTTTATTATCAGTGAGGTTCTGAGTGTAGAGATATATGTGTGTGTGTGTGTGTGTGTGTGTGTGTGTGTGTGTGTGTGTGTGT